ATTAAAACCAGGCAAGCAGGAGTCCCTTCCGGGGGGGGGGGGGCAAAGGGGGCTCCCCTTTCCCTGGAACTGACCCGGGGGGGGGGGGGCAAAGGGGGCTCCCCTTTCCCTGGTACTGCCCCGGGAGGGGGAGGCTTGCCATTTTTAGTGCTGTAAGCTGCCCATTGTCAGAAGGGGGAGCTGAATGAACGAACGAACGAATGAACGGACGCATGAATGAACGGACGCAGGAATGAATGAACGAATGAAACGCCACTAAGCAGCCCCTGGAGGGAGCCGGGTTTTCCAGGCCTGGCTAAGTGGCCACTGAAGCAGCACTTGCTGGTGGAACCGAGGATGATGACTTCCGATGGCTTCCCCATTGCTGAAGGATGAGAAGACTCTTTTCTCAATATCTGGTTTCTGCAAACTCTTTCTGAAACAAACTTGGCTTGATATCAGCTCAGCACTTTGCTCAAAAATAAGCCTCAAGCAGAAGGAAGTGGGGGGGGGGGCTGAAATTGGCGTCCGCTGGCGAATAGAACCGTTTGCCATACTCCACCCCCGAGGCAGGCGCTTTGGTGCCTGAAAGGCACAGACCTTATTAACATTCATCTCCAACATCATTAAGATGTTTCCTGGAAAATTAATTGAGATACTCATTAAAAATAAATTAAGAAAAATGTGTTGTAGAGTGCTCGCTCTGAGCTCGTAAATCACAGCTCAAAGCTTTGGGTGGCTGTGCAGACAATTAACGTGGGCCAATTTGTTTTACCCTGACTCTGAAAATGAGAAAGCAGACAGGAAGATTAGATTAGGGCTCTCTGTCTAGCGTATTTTAGGACAGAACGGGGACACGGTGGGATGTCAAAAGCCTGCCAGGTCCCTGTCTCAGAGGCACTGACAAACTGGGTCTCCACATCAAGGAACGGGCAAAATTCTTCCCCTCTTGCAAAGTCTCCTCGCTCCGCTGGCAGGTGGGACTAGCAGCATGTTGGCTGGAGGAAAGTGCCGCCCTGGAGAGGGCAGGATACCTTGAGTCGGAAGGGGCCTTGGAGGTCTTCTAGTCCAAATCCCAGCCGAAGCCAGGGATGCCTCCATAAGCCCTTCCCAACCTTTGGTTCTGACCAGGGAACCTGGCCACATTTGCACCATCTGATTATTTTTCAAAGAGACCCCAGAGACTGATCGACTTTTGCTCCAGCAGGAGACCATTGGAAAAACTGTACGCTTGTCCCTGTCAATCACGGGTGGTACATTGGCTGGCAACATCTCTCCTCCAAAGCTTTTCCAGAAAGGAAGCCAGAGTTTTGCAGCATCTGAAGCACATCTCAGCATCCCTCAGCGCCACGTGCCCAGCTTCCCCGAGACGAGCAAGGGCTCCGGACCTTCTGCAGGCTCCCTGCCTTTGCTCCGGAAGGGGCCCTCTCCCACTGGAGCTGGGGCAGCGGCCAAGTGCCCATCCACCGGGCCTGTCCAACCAGCCATGCTGGAGGCCTGCAGCTCTGCAGGAGGGCAGCAGGGGGAGCCCCCCGCCTGCCTCTGTGTCTTCTCTCCCTCTTCCCCCCCCCCCCCCCCACCCCCCCAATCCACCCCCAAATGGCAGCCCTGAAAATACACCTTGATTACTAGGCGTTAGAAGCAGCTCATGGCACAGTGGCAGCCTGGCAGAAGGCAAATGCACTAAGTGTCTCTTTCAGAGCCCTTAAAGCCCCTTCCTTCTGCCAAGAGCCACCATTATCTGCTCTCTGAGGCGGAAGGGAAAGGGTTACGCAGTGGGAGGGGGGCACCTATGGGGTCAACTCGCAGGACTGATGGGAGAAGGGAAGAGAGGGGGCAGATGCCACGGGAGAGCTCCTAGCTTGCCCCAGCTGTCTCCACTGCCACCGAGGGTCCTCCACAAAGCAGCTGGAGAAAGGGGGAGGGAGGGAAGGAAGGGAGGGAGGAGGGAGAGGGATGCCTCTCTTGGGCCTATGGGCAGGAGGGCCGTCCAAGTGACGGTCGCTGTGGAGGGTGAGGTTTCATGGGTGCAACTTCCTTCCCCTTCCCAAGACCAGGGTTGCTCCCACTCTTTCCGTCCCCCACTGCCTTCCCTCCCTCACGGAGAGGAAGATCCCAATGGGCATCCAGCGCAAGGCCAGCTCCGGAGCAAGCACAAAGTCGCCATCGCTGGAGCATTCGAGTATCCCAGAAAGGGGCAGGGAGGGGCCACTCCGGAGCCAAGGGCTGGCCAGTAGCCAAGAGCACAGAGGGGCCCCCGTGAGAGGGACGGCTGGCGGCTGCTTTCTGCTGGGCGCCAGGGACGGGAGGAGTGGGTAAAGCCGTTAGTGCAGGGGTCCTCAAACTTTTAAACAAGGGGCCAATTCATGGTCCCTCGGACTGTTGGGGGGCCGGACCGGCTGCGTAGGCGTGGCTAGATGGTCATGTGACTGGGTCGGCGTGGCCAATTGAACAGTCCACTGAGCAATGAACACAAACTAAACTTTAATCTGTTCTGCTGCTGGGGTGTTTTATTTGCTTTTGTTGGCATGTTGCTCCTTTTGGTTGACTTTTCTTTTCCCTAGATCAGTTATTTAGGAGTCTAGTGGTCTATTTCAGGAAACTTAGCTTTGAAGCAATTCTTCTCAGACCCAAGGAGCTCGAGAAGTCTCTGTCTCTCCCTCCCTCCCTCCCTCTCCCTCTCTATCTATCTTCTGGAGGCAGGGGAGGCCCGTTTTTCACCCCACTCCCACCTCCAGAAGCATTCTGCAGGCCAAAACCAGGCAAACCTGGCTCATTTCTTTGGCCAAAAATGGGCCTCATTTCTGGGGAGAGGCTGCAGTGGG